TGTTATATGTATCGTATCGCCAGATTCTTGCCAATACACACCACTACTGATAACTATAAAATTCTCTCCCAATAGTTAGCAAGTTATAGTAAGCTCTACATAATTTACTAGGGGTCTTATCATTTAGTGAAAGTGAATTATTTGTTATTGTGACACAGCATACAACAAAATGTGACCTCTGCTTTTAACCCATCACCAAATTGAACTTAAGCACCCAGGGGACAGTGCCATGCTCAGTGGCAACTTGGCAACTGGTGGACTCGAACCTGAACCTTTTCGGACTTAAGTCCACTTCCTTAACCACCAAGCCACCACTGCCCCATGATAATGTATCTATAATTATATAATGTTTGATAATAAATGAAACCGGTGTTTAAAAAGAAATGAAAGAATGCCAGAATGAAAATGGATGGATGGATGGATGATAATAAATGAAACCGGTGTTTAGAAAGAAATGAAAGAATGCCAGCGTCACATGTTGGAAGTGTGACTACTGTTCACAATACAACAAAAACAAACATTAGCGTTAATTCAACATGCTAATAATAGCGTTCATTTTACCTCTATGTTATGTGGCTCTGTGGTGGATAGTGATCATCATCTAAAGGAATCCTTCAAATGAAATATTTTTTTTAAGATCATTTCCATTTTGCTCTTTAAATAATGAATTATATCCCAAATTATACATTTTGTCTATGCGAGAGATTTCTTCCTGTGGTCTTGTCGGTGTTACGCCTCCCCACTAATGTCAGCCTGAATGGGCATTGAAGAAAGAGCTTTCTTCCGGCAGAACAATGCATAGCATTAATCATTTTGCAACAGCTCCTGCTGTCCTCGGTGAGCCGACAGAGTTCAATGCAGAATGGATGAACGGTCTCTGAGACTTTGCCAAAGGTCAAGTAGATGGATTAAGAGATAAAAGAGATCAACGATGAAAACTTGATGAGATAGAAGTCAACTAAACAAAAGAAATGTACCTGGATGTGAGGCCTTGTTGTCTTGTGACCTTTTCACGGGTCCTCAAGAAGACAGATGGCCAGTGACTGTCTGAATCATGTCAGGTCAGCTGTTAAGGACTTTAATCGTGCGAGTAGTTGGAAGTTTGAAGAAACACCAATCATCCCTAACTGCCGAGAATACAACCGCGCAATAACTTTTTTTTGAAAGTGAATACTGATAACCGAAAACTCCCTGCTTCCCTTCAAGAATGGAGGACTTAAACTTTATGTTCGGTCCCCCAATTTAATAGCTTTGCTTAACTGTTTTATAGGAGGAATACTAAAACATTAGTTAGAGGACTGCAAGAAAAAACCATCTCAATGCTTAATTTTTTTAATTTTGAGCCCAGACTGGTCCACCAGGAAGGGGGCATCGGCCCTCAGTTGTGATTGGCCCAGCCCCTGAGTGTCTTGTATGGCTCTTTTGCCTCGTCTCACCGTGCAATGGTATAAAAAAAGGGCCATCCCAAAATGACCACTGGCCCACCAGGCAAATGCCTTGTATGTCCGATGACCAGTCCAGCAGTGTCCCTACATTTATGCTTGAATATTCATCACAACTGAGGGAGTAAAAAGCTATTCCAGATGATTTTTTTAAAGTAAATATTAAGATATACGCCGAGTTTTTAAGGACACCGAAGCCCTGACGTGAAAATATCCCGAGGGTCACTTTAGCACATAGAGGCTGGAGCAGTGCAATGACAGTGTAATTATATTTCAGGCATGGGGTCGGGAAGGGCTCACGACGCTGGTTCCACGGGGGTTGCTGCACATGGCCATGTGGTTGTCATGATAGATGAACTCCTTGTCACAGTGCACTGCACAGTGCCTTTGAATCCCAAAAGTCCAATGTCTGAGGGAGAGGGGCGTCAGGGAGCGTCTACTTAGAGATGGATGTTCTTAAATAAGTATTCTCACGTCTTTATCACTCACTGACATGCACTGGCAAAAATGCCTAGTTGCACTTTATGAGCCTTAAAGAGGCAGTGTGGCATTAATTCCAAGAAGCCTGGATAGTTCTGACCCAACGCTCTTCATTTCATATTTCATTACAAAAGCTCTGCCCTAGTGACAAAGCTGCCACCAGATGTGCAATAGTTTGTTCAGGTGACATCAGGAGCACTGAACTTTACAATTTTGACAAAAAAAAAAACAACTTAATTTACCCCAAACACTAGGAGGGAAATTGAGGTGTGTTTTTCTTTTTTAATTATCAACAAACTATTAGGGTTCCCGGATTTTCCAGATTATGTATACACTTTTTTTTCATCCTTTGGCTGGGTTTGCGACTTATACTCAAGTGCGACTTATGTATTACCAATATACAGTATAATTTCACGTTTGTTATTTTCACACTGACAGCCGCTAGGTGGCAGTCTAGGCTTGTGTACCAGTACCTGCTACTCCTGTACCACTGAAAATTTACAT